GCTTTAAAACGCAAAGGCACAACACCAATAAATTAAATCAACTCATGTGTTGCTCAGGAAGTACTAAAAAAACAAAAACAAAATAGAAACAAAGGAAGGTATTTTGTAGTCATCTATTCTCCAAAGTTAATTTGAGTTGTGCTCAATCAACTTATTTGATGAATTTTTTAGAGAGATCACATCGTGTTATTTCTCTAATTAGAAGAACGCTGTTGAAACGCTAAAACGATATGGAGTGAATTGCACTCTAAAATAATATTATGTAGTCCAGAGAGGTGTCAAAAACGCTCTTGCTCGCGTAACCACAGAGGAGGCAAGTCAGATCATCGATCACCCACGTGTCTCCTAGTGAGGTTTGCTCTGATTGGGAGGATGTCATTACAAATTCTCCATGCTCATACCTTAACTTCGGGAAGAATACGAAAGCTTGCACATTCCTGAATCCGAAACTCTGTCATCCGTTCCATTCCATCACAACATTTATGAGGATTATAGCAGCAAGCAAATAAGTTACTTGGGTTGGGCCGTCAAAATTTGAACTTTGATTTGGTGGGGTGTGCCAGGCCCAAGCAATAGTGCAACGCTTAGGCGACACGCAAGAGCTCCAATAGCAAGCTATTGTAATGAACCCTTCCCCTTAAAAAATTAATTTAATATCGTGTGAACCATTGGTCCACGTATCAGATATTAAACTGATAAGAACAGATACTACACTTAATCTTAGCCAAAAGGCCGAGAAAGGTATGCTTATTTCAATTTTGGGCTTTCGTTTTTATCCCACGTCTTAACTCTCCTACTTCTTCAGATAGCCGATGTGGGACTCCCCCATAGTTTCTTGCAGCAGCGCCGTTTCTAACTTGCTGCACTCTAACACAATTACTTCTTACCACTCTCAGGCCTACAAAACTACATCTTATCGCCAGCAAGCAGGAATATAACATCACATGGGATGGGATTGATCGATGAGATCAACCAGTGCTCTTTCTGGCTGCACCAACTTTGAGTCTCCTCTGTGGCTCGGTTTGAACGATAGAGCTGGAAACAAGAAACTAAATGAGGAAGCCGGATCTGCAAAAGCTTTCTGTTCCTTGAAATATTTATGCTTCTAAGTCGTTGAAGAGATTGCTGAAACATGCCGGAGCCGTTTCAATATGCTGTAGTTTAATTTGTTTAAGAAAGTTGATGTTTTGCTGAGAGCAAATTGCTCTAGCTAGAAAATGCTAAGGCACAGACACAATAAGGCAATCAACTATGCTCTTTTCCCTGAACAAAACAACTGAAATAGTTTACCATAGAAAAACCTCTAATTCAACCTTGTCCATGTTGGTCAAAGGGAGGGATACTGTGAATCCACACGTGGGGAGAAGAACGTCATTGACCTAAGTTTGCAAGAGCGTCGGCAACCAAAATTGCTTCTCGAAAAATATGTTCAATGCTGATACTAAGAATTCATGATGAATTATAATATCTCAAAAAACTATATAAATACGTCAAAAAATAGAGCATGTCACTAATATAACCGATAATGATTTTCAAATTTGTTTACTGTCCTGTGTAAAAAGCTCGTAACAATCCATCTCTGAGAGCCATACCTTCAGAAGAGAGAAATCTAAAAAAGCAAGGGGAGAGAAGCCAGCACAAGAGGAATTCCATCACCATGTTGCTTAGCAAACACATAAAATTAAAAGGGTTTTTATCACAAATAGTCCCTAAAATTAACACACCCAATCAAGGTGGTCCTTAAAATTGAAAATCAATCAATGTAGTCCCTGAATATTACTGCTGAAAATCAATGTGGTCTTTCCATTAAATTTCCGTCAAAACTTCTGTTAATGGCTGGCATGGCACATGTGGGATCCAATATAATTAAATATTCCCAGCTAATCCAACTGATTCTCGCCGAACCATGTCCACAATTGCCTCCCTCCGTGTCCGTCTGCAACGTAGCTGCTGCCATGTGAGCACCCAAGAGGCTGTGACCTGTGAGCACCCAACCCAAGCACCAAGCCACCATTTTCCCCACCATGTTTTGTAGAAACACACAATCTTTGAGAGACCAAGAGGAGGGAAAGAGAGAGAGGTCGAAATCATGGGTTGGTTTCTTGCATGTTTTGGTTCTTCCAAAGACAAAAAAACGCAGGAGTAATCAGAGGGAGTAATCTGGAAAGTAGGGTGGTGTGTGGAAGGGATTACCAGATTAGGTCGGAGGGGGAAGGAGATCGTTCGATCTCCTTTGTTCTTTTTTTTCATTTGTTTTTTCATTTTCAAATTGATTTAAAAGATGGTGATTGTTTGGATTTGCAGGAATTTGGATGGTGATGGTTTGGATTTGCAGGGAGGGAGGAAGGGTGTAGGAATTTGGATTTGCAAGGAGGAAGGAAGGGTGCAGGGATTTGGATTTACAGGGACAGATGAAGGGTCCAGGGAGGGAGGAAGGGTGCAGTGGAGTAGGGTGCTCACTCAATCTCGGGCGACCCTAACAACACCACGACTGGGCTCGACGTCGTGGACATGGCAGCAGCTGCGCTGCAGACAGAGGGAGGAATCGAACCTTGCAATGGTGGACGTGGTTCGGTGAGAACCAACTGGAGTAGCTGGGAATATTTAATTATATTGGTTCCCTCATGTCAGCCATGAACAGAAGTTTTGACGAAAATTTAACGAAAGTATCACATTGATTTTCAGCAGTAATATTCAGAGACTATATTGATTGATTTTTAATTTCATGGACTACCTTAATTGGGTGTGTTACTTTTAGGAACTATTTGTGATAAAAACACAAATTAAAAAGAAAATAGCAAAAATATTCCCCACTACTTGTTCTTGTGCTGACTTTGAGGATCGATATAAACTATTCACATGCCTTCCTCGTTATACCCGTATTGCAATTAGTTTATGCTTATTTCACACACCAAAAACAACCATGTTGTGTAAGATATTCAGCATTGATTGATGAGACTTCAAAATTTGACTTATGAGGTTTGACTTGGACAAAAATTTGAAATAAGTTTTCTTGTCACAAGAAATAAAGTTTTATCCAAAATACGAAAATTATTGAACTGAAAATCAGTACTAGTGATCACATCTGCTAAGAAATTTGTTCATCTAAAAATATGGGCCCAAGAAATAAAGTTAAAGGAAGTCACCAACCACTTAATACTATAATTAGGAAGGAAGTTAAGATGAAGAAATTTATGAGAAACGGATTTAGGTGAAACGGAAAAGAAATACCACCCTGCCATGCCTTGCCCAGCTATTGGCAGGGCAGTACCTGCATGACTTTCCTGCATCCATCTTCCTTATACTTCAAGCAAGGAGCTTCGTTACGAGTAACCGGAAAGTAAGACTTATGCCCTTCCCATTTTTAGCGGTAATTTTTTGTTGCATCGTGTAAATTGATTGTCTTCCTCTTTTATTTTCTTTCCAATCATCTGTAACAAATTAAATCCCTGAGTTTTATTCGAACCTCCAGTTCCGAAATTTTCATAGTTTTAAAAATGGAAGGTTCAAAACATGTAGATTCAATTCTTTGATATCATAAATCTCATAACTCTACTTATAGTGGCTTAATAGTTTACAAGTAATTTATAGCTAACACTGGTTCTGTTACTCTTGCGGACGAGGAAAACTTGTCTCTCACAGGGTCCATATTCCCATGTTACTATAGCTCTCAATGCACTATGCCACATGATGAAAGCTATATGAATATGAGGATATACACCCCATTACAGGGGAGTCCTTCTCGATGGGGAAGAAAAGAAAGATGAATAGAGGTGGAGTATATCATACGAAGTATGTAGATACATAGTTTCAACATTTTCGGTGCTGTGAGTTTGTGATAACATTGCTCGGAACAATTGTGGTTTGATTTTGATATAGTTAGATGACCATCAAGATGGTAGTGTGTTGGAAAGGATGCAGAACTGTCCAAGAAGATATTCTTGAGGTGAATGTGGCATCTCCAGTTGGTTTATTGAGGAGGATGGATATGGCACATTGGTAGCATGATGTGCATGAAGTAGACAATATGAACTAAGTGCATTTCTTATATTTATTCTTCGATATCATTAAGTAGCTTATGAATTAGTATCCCTGACTTCGTTCATAGGTTACAAGATTATTCTGTAAAGACAGCTTGTCGATGAAAGTGAGAGATCAAAAATCGACAGTAAGCACCTTCGGGAGCTTAGCTTTCAAGTTGGATCGGTCTACCAGTTCATCGATGAGCTGCTTATTCAACCGGACAATGAGGTTAGTGGTAAATTACAATTACTTTCACTTGGTGATTTTTGGTGCTGGTCTTTTTTAAGAGTCGCAAAGTAAGTTGAAACACCAAAATTTTTTTTATTGAATTGGATGAACAATTTATTTTTCATTATGTCATAATGCATTACATAATGTCTCTTTCAAACACCAAAACTTTTTTATTGAATTGGATGAAATGAGATACAACTAGGTAACCATAATAGCTTTTTCAAACAATGAAACCAAACCAAAACCGTTTAAAACCAAACCAAACCGAACCAAAAGGTTTGGTTTCATTTCGGTTTTAGCCTAAAAACCGCACCGAACCAAACTGCAAAAACTTACAGTTTTGGTTTCACTCAAAACCTTACCAAACCGAACCGCGCCCACCGCTACAAGCAATGACATCATGCATGTATAAGCAACGATGTCATTGCTTACATAGACATGATGTCATCCCCTCAAACCAAATAATGGGACGTCTATGTTTACAACATAAGTCTTGTTTCTCCCACGTTTTTTGTGCAGCCGATGTGGGATATGAAAACGTATACACAAACAGCGAAGTGAAGATTGTATTGCCAAAAGCTAATTGGAACTTCAATTTCAGAAATAAAAAGGGATACGACCTAGGTTAAGGAGCGAAGGTATAAAATAAAATTGAACTAAAGCATCGCTACAAAATTGGTTTCCAACAGGGATTGATTGGTATTGCTTAATATATGTTGGCCTTGAAAATTTTAAACTAGGATTTGGTGGGTTGTGCCAGGACCGAGCAATAGTGCAACGCTTGGGCGACACGCAAGAACCCCAGTAGCAAGCTACTGTAGTGAGCCCTCATCCTAAAAAAATTAATTTAATATCATATATACCGTTGGTTCACGTATCAGATATTAAACTGATAATAACAGATACTACACTTGATATTAACCAAAAGGCCGATAAAGGTATGCTTATGTCAATATTGGGCATTCGTTTTTATACGCAGCTTCGTTCTTCTACTTTTGTCCGTGGTCGATGTGGGTTTCTAATGCACTATTTCGAAGTACTCTTTCTGTCCACGTACTTCAACCCAAGTACACCTAGCAGCTCCCGTAAAGCATTCATAGAAAAGCAAATGGATTAAGCTAATAAGATTAAAAAAATAGAAAAAATTAGTGAAAGTACATAACTCAAAACTACAGCTCTTGGGAAATATCCGTTAATGGATGTTTGAGATGATGGCTTTGAGCTTCTTCTGCAATGCTTCAATTTCTCCTCACCACCAACACCAAGGTCTCTTCTCTCTCTCTCTTTCTCTCTCTCTCTAACAGTTAAGTTTTGTGCTAAAAATTTCAGCCAAAGTGAAGGTTACAAGCAGCAAAGGCCTTGAAGAAGTGAAGAATCTCATAAGAACTGTTGGGATTCCATCAAAAACCTCATCTCCAGCAAAATCTCTTGAAAATGGCAAATGGGTCAAGCTCATCTGCGGTGCAAGCTTCGAGGATGTGGTTGATATCAGGAACCGTTCTCTAGTTTACACTCTTGCAGGAGGTAATTAACTAAAATTTAACTGATTTTATGCTGACCAAGTGAGATTAGATATTGGATTAAATTGATTTTAATTGCTTCACAACCGATTGGTTGCGATTGGTTGCAGTTGATTGCATAGACTGCGCAGCGGATGTGTCAGTGGTGAGTGCAGTGAACGAGGGGATTGATGCAGCAGTTGGCATTTTTAGTGGAATCACTACACGGCGTCGTTTGTATCAAGGATTATCCAGAGCATCTCCTTCAGGCACTTAAGAGAGGCCGTTTCTTTGGTTGGGAAACTGTCAGTGTCAAATGTTCCAATAAATACTTCGGTAATAGGCTACGTTTGGCTTCTTGGTTAGGCTGTTAAAGACTAAACTATGATTTGGTGGGTTGTGCCAGGCCCGAGCAGTAGTGCAACTCTTGGACGACACTCGATGACCGCAATAGCAAGCTATTGTAATAAGCCCTTACCCTTAAAAAATTAATTTAATATCCTGTGGACCATTGGTCCACGTATCAGATATTAAACTGATAAGAACAGATACTACACTTGATCTTAGCCAAAAGGCCGAGAAAGGTATGATTCTTTCATTGTTGGGCTTCCATTTTTATACAAATTAACTCTCCTAATTTAATAAGCTGGCTGATGTGGGACTATAATACTTTCTTGCAGTGTTGTTTCTAACAATTATATCTTATCACTCTCAGGCCTATAAAACCACTTCTTATCACCAAAATCCAGAAATTAAAATAAAACTTAACACTACAAGGAAACTAAGCTTTACACTAGGACCTCTGCTCTTTAGGATGACTCACTCAAGCTAAGAATATTGAACAAAGAGGGTTAAACAAACAAACTCTCTTTAACGATACTTCAATATCTTACAATGCTTGGTGAACTAAGTATGAATGCTCAACCAAGTTTGTAGACAAGGGAGGAAGTCTTTTGAACCTCATCTAGGACTAAGAGACATTATATTCTTTTGTCGCTTACCTACAACAATGAAAGGGAATCTCTCTTTACAACTTATTAGACATTACTTTATTCACACTTACATTTTATATCTCATAGATTCTTATTTTTGTCACATCACATATTATTTTAAGATACTGTTTCTTTGGATATCACTTAATGTCTTGTCGATGCCACGAGTCGTCATCATATTCCACCACGCTTCCGCATGCCTTAGTCCCATCCATCACTGGGCCAGTACTCGTCATCCAGCTCTTCCGAATCATCATCATACCCATGCCATTGGTCTTGTTCTTCCCAGTACAAGAGTTGTAGCTGAGATCAACTCATCCACTTTCTGGCTGCATCTTGGAGATTGGTACTTCTTCTCCATGGCTCGATTCGAACGACAAAGCTCGAAACAAGAAACTAGATGGGTAAGTGGAATCTGAAAAGTAACTAGTTAATGCTTCTAACTCACTGGAGAGATTGCAGAATGCTATGGTTGAAACATGCCGCATGATATCATACCATTCCAATCTGATGCAATCTAACATCTTTAGGGGATCATTTGGTAGTAAAGTTAACAACAAGAGAGTAAAATTTGTATCCCATTCCACGTTTGGTGATTTTTCGTTTTCATGATTGAGTAATTACTCGAGCCAAATTATTGGGATAACATCTCCCCTGTGTGAAATCGACACCAACGTTCACGAAAGAACCATATGCCTCATCTCGCTCTCTACATCCCAAGTCCCGACGCTGTATGTGACCTTGTCTCGCAACGTTAACTACCATGACTTCGTTTTGTGACATAGTCCCTGACCTCGTCTCTTAGGACTGCCAAGGTATTTTGTTTTGCGTTTGCTTTAAAACGCAAAGGCACAACACCAATAAATTAAATCAACTCATGTGTTGCTCAGGAAGTTACTAAAAAAACAAAAACAAAATAGAAACAAAGGAAGGTATTTTGTAGTCATCTATTCTCCAAAGTTAATTTGAGTTGTGCTCAATCAACTTATTTGATGAATTTTTTAGAGAGATCACATCGTGTTATTTCTCTAATTAGAAGAACGCTGTTGAAACGCTAAAACGATATGGAGTGAATTGCACTCTAAAATAATATTATGTAGTCCACAGAGAGGTGTCAAAAACGTTCTTCCTCGCGTAACCACAGAGGAGGCAAGTCAGATCATCGATCACCCACGTGTCTCCTAGTGAGGTTTGCTTTGATTGGGAGGATGTCATTACAAATTCTCCATGCGCATACCTTACCTTCGGGAAGAATACGAAAGCTTGCACATTCCTGAATCCGAAACTCCGTCATCCGTTCCATTCCATCACAACATTTATGAGGATTATAGCGGTTAGCAAATAAGTTACTTGGATTGGGCCGTCAAAATTTGAACTTAGATTTGGTGGGGTGTGCCAGGCCCAAGAAATAGTGCAACGCTTAGGCGACACGCAAGAGCTCCAATAGCAAGCTATTGTAATGAACCCTTCCCCTTAAAAAATTAATTTAATATCGTGTGAACCATTGGTCCACGTATCAGATATTAAACTGATAAGAACAGATACTACACTTGATCTTAGCCAAAAGGCCGAGAAAGGTATGCTTATTTCAATGTTGGGCTTTCGTTTTTATCCCACATCTTAACTCTCCTACTTCTTCAGATAGCCGATGTGGGACTCCCCCATAGTTTCTTGCAGCGCCGTTTCTAACTTTGCACTCTAACACAATTACTTCTTACCACTCTCAGGCCTACAAAACTACATCTTATCACCAGCAACCAGGAATATAACATCACATGGGATGGGATTGATCGATGAGATCAACCAGTGCTCTTTCTGGCTGCACCAACTTCGAGTCTCCTCTGTGGCTCGGTTTGAACGATAGAGCTGGAAACAAGAAACTAAATGAGGAAGCCGGATCTGCAAAAGCTTTCTGTTCCTTGAAATATTTATGCTTCTAAGTCGTTGAAGAGATTGCTGAAACATGCCGGAGCCGTTTCAATCTGCTGTAGTTTACTTTGTTTAAGAAAGTTGATGTTTTGCTGAGAGCAAATTGCTCTAGCTAGAAAATGCTAAGGCACAGACACACTAAGGCAATCAACTATGCTCTTTTCCCTGAATAAAACAACTGAAATAGTTTACCATAGAAAAACCTCTAATCCAACCTTGTCCATGTTGGTCAAAGGGAGGGATACTGTGAATCCACACGTGGGGAGAAGAACGTCATTGACCTAAGTTTGCAAGAGCGTCGGCAACCAAAATTGCTTCTCGAAAAATATGTTCGATGCTGATACTCCCTCTGATTACTCCTGCGTTTTTTTGTCATGGGTTGGTTTCTTTTTTTCATTTTTTTTTTCATTTTCAAATTTATTTAAAAGATGGTGGTTGTTTGGATTTGCAGGAATTTGGATGGTGATGGTTTGGATTTGCACGAATTTGGATTTGGATTTGCAAGGAGGGAGGAAGGGTGTAGGAATTTGGATTTGCAAGGAGGAAGGAAAGGTGCAGGGATTTGGATTTACAGGGACAGATGAAGGGTCCAGGGAGGGAGGAAGGGTGCAGTGGAGTAGGGTGCTCACTCAATCTCGGGCGACCCTAACAATACCACGACTGGGCTCGACGTCATGGACATGGCAGCAGCTGCGCTGCAGACAGAGGGAGGAATCGAACCTTGCAATGGTGGACGTGGTTCGGTGAGAACCAGCTGGAGTAGCTGGGAATATTTAATTATATTGGGTCCTAATTGTGTCATGTCAGCCATTAACAGAAGTTTTAACAAAAATTTAATGAAATGACCACATTGATTTTCAGCAGTAATATTCAATGACTACATTGATTGATTTTTAATTTCATGAATCACTTTAATTGGGTGTGTTACTTTTAGAGATTATTTATTATAAAACCCCAAATTAAAAAGAAAGTAGCAAAAATATTCCCCACTACTTGTTCTTGTGCTGACTTTGAGGATCGATATAAACTATTCACATGCCTTCCTCGTTATACCCGTATTGCAATTAGTTTATGCTTATTTCACACACCAAAAACAACCATGTTGTGTAAGATATTCAGCATTGATTGATGAGACTTCAAAATTTGACTTATGAGGTTTGACTTGGACAAAAATTTGAAATAAGTTTTCTTGTCACAAGAAATAAAGTTTTATCCCAAATACGAAAATTATTGAACTGAAAATCAGTACTAGTGATCATATCTGCTAAGAAATTTGTTCATCTAAAAATATGAGCCCAAGAAATAAAGTTAAAGGAAGTCACCAACCACTTAATACTATAATTAGGAAGGAAGTTAAGGTGAAGAAATTTATGAGAAACAGACGGATTTAGATGAAACGGAAAAGAAATACCACCCTGCCATGCCTTGCCCAGCTATTGGGAGGGCAGTACCTGCATGACTTTCCTCTTTGTTCTACGCGTTGGCATCCCAAGGCTTCATCGATGAAGAGTACAATCTATGAATTATGTTTTGAGAACAAAAAGATCGACCACAACTATGCTGAAATAAACAACATATATTTATGGGATTGGCTAATTGTGCAATTTTCGAACATTAAAAATATATAGCACGCCATGGTTGTTTACCTTGCATGGCTTTTAAAGGCTACCCTTCTCAATAAATCCTTATTGAATGCTTTGCACGACAGGTAGAATCAGTCCAAAACCTCACAGAAATGCATTGGTCAATGATGAGGGGCTGCAATATCATACACAATGTGTATTTTATATCATATACTATATGCTTTATGTATAGAAACAAGGGGCAGTAGTGTAGAAAAACTTACATGAAACGAATTCATCGTTATTACGGCGTTTCGTTCTAATTAAACAATGACATGTACAATTTTTTCAACACATACTATTATACTATTGAAATCGGGACATTACGTAACAGTAAATCCGTTCTATGTAAATTGCTCTTGCACTAATGAGTGTGAAGCGTGAACTATTTGATTTATATATTCATGCTTAGCGTAGAGGAATGGATATAATGATGATTTCACTTGGGACAAGTGAGGGAACGGCAATTGGGAATTCTAACTCAAGAAAATAATGAGTAGAAGAATCTGTACGTGTGCAAGTGGCCATTCTACCACAGTGGTAGAAAGAGTGTTACTCTTACAGCACATCGTATGTTTGAACTCTGTTGATATTTTATCTAACATTTAATTTAACAAATATATCATCTAAAAAAAGGAATAAGTGCGTTTATATCAATCACACACTTCGGTCATATTTGTATAGCTGAGCAATCATTGGGAAACGGTAAGGCATATAGACCTATAGGGGATTAGGCGTCGTTCATTTACAGTGTGTTTGCTAATTTATAACCACAAGAAACAAAAGAAATTGTTATTGTCATTTTAAAATTTTCATTTTGCATTTCAATATAATTAGAAAGAAAAAACACTTGCGATGAATGTAGAATGAAATTTGTAGAATGCTAATAATAATTCCCTAAAAATGAAAATAGATCCAAATTATGATGTATTTTTCAACAAAAAAAAATTACGGTGTATTTATGTGTTCATTAACTAATGAGTAAATCAAAACATAGAGAGAGCCTGCACCTAATAAGGAATTCAACTCCTCGTTTTAAAAGAATTAGATTGTTTGAAGGGAGATGTTATTCTTATTCGAGAGAAACAAGGAATAAGAGATGAAATATTTTTAGGTGCCCTCACGTAATTCAAAATTTTCAAGTTAACTTATAAAATAGTAGAATAAAGCTTATAATTATTCCCATTTTGACTCAAATTTTTAAGGGAACTTTAACGAAAAGCTCTTGGTACTGTTCACTTTTACGAAAAACTACATTTTTACACTAAAAAGTCAATCATGGTACTATTCATTTTACCCTTTATTTTGTCCTTATCATTAAAACTCAAAGTTTTCAAGCCATTTTCATTAGTTTTCCTAATTTTTAATTGAAGATAAACACGTTGAACGAGTGTTGCAAACACAAATGAATATAAATAGTTCTAAGACATTGTTTATGTTGATGCACAAATCGGGTCGATCTTGGATCACGATATATCGTTGTGTTCTTGTGCGTGTAATTTACTGTCAGATCTAAATTGGTCCAAAATCAATCTGATTTTGTGCATCAACAGTTTCCATTTCTTACTACAACTAACTATAATTTTTGTTGAAAAAGGGCATTTTAGGATAATAAACAATGCATTAGACAATAGAGTGAGAGAGAGAGATAAGTGGAATGCTTCTGTGGACGTTGGTATAGATGTTGTAGGCCGAAACACCCTTCATTTTAAAGGAAATTAATCAACCATGTTGGATATTGGTTGTTTTCTTGTCGCTTTTATAATTGAGTGTTATAATGGACTAATCTAAATTAATGAAAATACCAAATGTTTAAAAGTCAAATGAATGGACGTCATCAAGGGTCCACTAATAAGTAACTAGCTTTTGGGCACACACAATGACACACCCCGTCCCGAAGGAGGGCATGCTGGCCGTCACGTGAGAGTGACGTAACCATTTGCACAGTACGGAAGCTTTAAGATACAATTTATAAGTTGATACACCCGAAGGTGAGTCCTAATTTTGTCCAATCTGTCAGAACCCCGCCGTATTCCTCGTAGTCACCACACCTTTGTGATTCCTGAACCTGGAGGGGCGCAAAACCAAAATTGAGTGGGTCAGTAAAACAATTCTTTTCCAAATCCAAACATTTCTCATAACGTTGTAACCCCTCTCCGTAAAACCTGTATACTTTCCCAGAAATGTAAAATATAAATATACATATATATTCTCAATACTTCATTTCACTTTTTCAACATTTTTCATATCAGTTATGCCATGCCACATCATCTCAACATTTCTCATATTAATTATGCCATGCCACATCATCTCAACAGTAATAAGGTATGAATGCATCAACATAATCATATCAGGTGCAAGAAAGTAATCAACCGTAGGCCCTCTAATAGCCCTGTACGGTTGAACCTAGAGCTCAAAATCTATCATTATCACTCTACCGGAGTCACCTCTGTGACCCGTCCGGCCTTCTGCACGCAAGTTACGCTCTAGTGCTTCTCATAAATCATCTGTGCACATAATCTAAGGTCACCCACCAGTCGGAATCTCACTAACACTCTCGCGACTGGTCTGTCGTACCCACTCCGCGTGGACTGTACGACTAGCATCTACTTGGATTCAAGGCGAGCGTGCGATGCGGTGAATACTATAAGCACTAAACCATGGTGCAGGATTTGAGCTCAATATATATCATCATCATCATAACAGTAATTAAATACTCACCTGTGCGTCCACCGCACCATTTCATACATATGCATCATAAATCAATTCTTACTTGTGCGTCCACCGCACCAATTCATACATATGCATCATAAATCAATTCTTACTTGTGCGTCCACCGCACCAATTCATACATATGCATCATATATTAATTCATGCATGGCATTTCAACTCACATTTCTATATACTTTTTTCATATCAATTCTATGCATGGTATTTCACTTCCCGTTTTTTCCACATAACTCATATGCATTTCATTTTAAACATATTTTCATTTCAATTCAATTTCTGGGAAACGTCAAGTATATATAT